CTGATTTATGTAAATGAGCACAGGCTGCCCTGTGTGGTGTTTCATTTAAAGAGGAGTCTGGGCTAAAACACCCCTTATAACTTCAGTGTGAATTGAGCTGTTTTTTACAGCTTAGTTTTGTGTAAAAACTTGAACAATATCTCTTTCATAAAAAAAAAAAAAATGAAATAATAATAGTAATATAGACCCTTTTGTCTTATTTCTAGACATTTTTCTTTATTTTAAGTAATTTAATTAAGTGAAATCATCTCACTATATTGGCAGATAATTTTGCTTGTTTTTCAAAATATGCTAAATTATCTTCCAATATATCCATCCATCATCTAAACCGCTTATCCTTCTGGGTCGCGGTGGGGTGCTGGAGCCTATCCCAGCTGTCATTGGGCGGAAGGCAGGATACACCCTGGACAGGTCGCAAGTCCATCGCAGGGCAGACAGACATACACATTCACACACATACATTCACACCTAGGGGCAATTCAGCATGTCCAATCAGCCTGACTGCATGTCTTTGGACTGTGGGAGGAAACCGGAGTACCCGGAGGAGACCCACACAGACACGGGGAGAACATGCAAACTCCTCTTCCAATATAATGAGAATTTAATTTAATTTACTAAAACAACAACAATAATACAAAGACTGCCCCAGACATTGAGATTGAAGTAAATGTTTTATCTTAATATCAACAAAAAAATTAGATTCCAGTTTGAGAACCACTGCTCTAAAATGAACAGCAGTAATGAGAAGGCAGTGGGTTCTCATCAAAAACAGACATTCACTTGATCATGTGATATGAATGTTTTATAAATGAGGTCCCAGCACAAGTTTTGGATTTGAAGTCCAGATTAGAATACATCTGAACATCAGAGCAATGCCATAGTAATCAAAAGAATGAAAGTCGAGTTTTTATTTTTTCAATTCTTTCTACCTTTATGCAGGGATGGGGGAGTAGCTAAGTAGCGCGCTACTTTTTGTAGCTAACTACAATGTTTTGTAACTAATAGCTGTGTCCGCTACAGTTTTATGAAATGTAGCTAATAGCTGTAGCGCCTACAAATTTTGTGTAGCTATAGCAATGATTTTCACTACAGGCTTCAGGCAATCTGCACAAAATTTGAACCATAGAACGCGGACGTCAACTTGTCTAGTGGCGATTGTGCAAAATAGCTCAGGGGTCGGCGACTGAAATGTTAAGAAGAGCCATTTTGTCCTTTCAACAAAAATGAAACCACCTTTGGAGGCACAACATTTTATATCTGTTTTACCATCGTGGCTGTAAGTGTGTCTCAGTATGTGCTGATGTTCTGGTTCAGGCTAAAAACATAATAGAATCGCAAATGCAGACTTACTTTGCTCTGCTTTAACCTTTAGATCAGCTGTAGCCACTTTTCTCAGTCTGAAGTCAGCTTCTCATTCGGCGGCTTCTTCTTCTAATTGTCCTGTTCCACCTTAAATGGTGCCTGAGGAATGTACTGCTGTGCCATTTTAGGTGGAACGGGACAATTTCAAGAAGAAGCCGCCAAATGGGAAAACTTCAGTCAGCCACTTTTTTGTGATCTTTTTGTATATTTCATCTTTTATTACGGCTTTTCAGTGGCACATGATTAAATGCAGTGTCTTGTTCACACTATCAGTTGGGCTTGTTTGGTGTGTCAGGAGAAGATTCACAAACATTTTGACAATCGTGCTTTGAAAATACTTTTCAAAAAGTAGCTATAAGGCAGTCACTACTTTCTCTGGAAAAGTAGCTAAATTGTAGGTAGCTACACATTTTGGGAAAGTAGCTACAAAGTAGATAGCTACTAATTTTTAAGTAGCTCTCCCAACCCTGTCTTTACATTCACGGCTTACATTTATGATTTATGTTCTTGAGGTTTATTCATTGTTAAACCCAACTTCTTGCTCACAATATAAACACAGAAGAGATACACTTGTTTTGATTTTGTGGAAACATGAATAGCACCATGCTGTGTGTAACAGTGTTACCACTTTTGAAGGCAGTGGCGCACGTTAGATAGTTGGATGGTCGAATGGTTCAGAGGTCCCAGAAGCATCACCATGACATCTTGGTTTTCAGTTCCCAAAGTGCTCTCAATTTATTAAAGCTCCACACTCAAATCTTTACACTCACAGGGGAAAAGAAAAGAAGATTTAAAGAGCTAAACAATCAAAGAATGATCTCATTAACCCCAGATCAATTTATGACTGTTGTTCTATGCTCTTGGAATATCCCTATCCAAGGTAATCTGAATCTGGGCTCTGAGTCTGGTAATCGGAGTCTGGGCTCTCTCCTTTCTCCCCGCCATGCTCCTGTCTGCCCCTTTTAAGTAGGTGGCACCTCCCACTTTGGGTCTGGGCCATCCCATACTCACACTCTGAGTGACATGAGCGTAGAATAAGACACATAATCATACTGATATAATGTCACAGTCATATCCATCATTATTATGTATGGGTATACACAGACGTGTCATGGTGCTATTCATTTCTTCCTTTAATTTGGATGCTCTTATCTTTCCACATGTGTCTCTCTCCACAGGTTCCCCCCTCCCTTGAACAATTAAACAGCTGGGCTCCTGCTCCTATACCGGCATCACATCCGGTAAGTAAACATTCAGTCTTTACAATGTCCATTCTTCATATGCATGTTTCTATTGTAGTGTCTAACAGTCTCTTGAGGTGAGGTGCATCAAAATAGTCCGGTGATATGTCAGGGCTACCTTTTTATGGCTCCTATGTGGACATACTATCCAGGTTTTGTGACAGTTGGCCAATATTACCCCTATGAACTGCCAGCCAAAACTTGATTGGCCATTGACAGCGATGATATTTATGATGTCTTAGATGTTTTTGATTCTACAGCACACAAAATGAAACAGACAGTCAGTTCATGAGTAACTGTTCTTTGCATAGTCATTGCATTAATAATAATAATAATAATAATAATAATAATAATAATAATATATTTTCTTTATTGTTTGTGTTCCAGAAATCCGAATGTAATATCCTTTGAAATTCTTTCAAAGAATCTTACGCTGGATCTGCAGCAGCAGCTGCAGGTGAGCGTGCGGCTCCTGCTGGATAAACACCTTGATAGAGTGAAGATGTTGTTGGTGAAAGTTCAAATGCTGCTGAAGAGAGTGCAGCTGCCGTAGGGAGACATTATCATGCCAGGCAGTAAATCAGTATCAGTACAAATTATCAGTGACATAAACAGATAAAAAACACCAAACTGGCAGCAAACTATTAAAAAAAAGCCGCAAATGTTAGTGTGCACATACTTTATATCCATATAATTGAAAATATATATATACAAAAATTGCACATATGTAGACAGCTAGGAGTTCGTTCTTGTTTAAGGAATTTTCAGCCACTCTTGCTTGAAAAACACTTCCAGCTCTGTGATGTTCTTTGGCTGTCTTGCAGACACAGCGCGTTGAAGATCTACCCATAGATATTCAGTGTTGAGTTCCCTTAACTGTACCCAGTGGAATTTACTAGCTGGAAGTGCATTGACATCTTTTTTATAGCCTTCTACTGCTTTGTAAGTATCAGTTAGTAGATCATCAGCCAACGGCTCAAAGGAGCCTATTATTGTTGAGTGTTAGCTCCGGTTTTCAGAGGGAATTTATTAAGCTCTGGAACTGTCATCAGCTGACAGTTCCTGACAACAATTCTTGACATGCTTAACTAGTTCTAATGAGTCAATTAAGTTAATTTGTAGAAAAATGTTGTTTTTAGCTAATTTTCTGCAGAGGTTATAGATACTTCCTCATAGATACTTCCCAAATGAGTTTATCTGTCTTAAGTAAATGTCATAAAGATAATAATTGTTTCAAACCCAATGAGGCATAACTGCAATGGAAAAAACAAAAACAAAAACAAAACATTATAGTGTTCTAAGACTTCCAACTGCATAAATTTAATGGCATATTTGCTCGTGTCATAGTGGATTAGACTTACAGACGAAAATACAGATGCTTATTAAAATATTAAAATATTTCTTCTGACACATATACAAATAAAGAAAAGAGAACCATTTTAAAGTTTTGTAACTTGTCTCTTTGAAAAAATGTGAGGATTTTTGCATTCCCCAACCCAAAGATTCTGACATTGGGAGTTTGGGCGCCCCAGTCAAATAACATTTACTTCCCCTTCTCTTACCCTATGTGTCTGTGTGTTACTAGGTAGCCAGCTATTCAACACTAAAATCACTATACATTAATCAGATGATTTTCATTTTCTACTGTTCAAAAACAAAACATCAAATCTTTTTCAGTCGGTGCGGTACATTTAGGAAGCCCCAAAACATGATGCACAACTTTATGATTCCTCCAAATATGGCAGGAAACCCATGAATCTGGCAACCCTGCATAGGTAGTGGGAAAAGAGCCAGGAGTGGAACATGTCATACAGGGAAACAGCAGAGTGTGTCCACTATTTTCCAACTGTTATATTCAATTGTACTGCAGCAGCTGTTTTCAGACTCTTCAGTGCAGTTTCACCACCATGAATTTCTCAAGCTTTGCACTAGTACTGGCAACAATGAGCCCAAGTAAAGTGTACGTCTACAGCCCACTGTCTCTGGCTCACTCTCATTTCACATATAAAGAGCAAAAAAAACAAAAAACTTTATTATAGTGCAAAACAATCACACATTTGTAACAATCAGCATACAAGCTACATTGCAAGGTTTAAACTGCAGATTTGAGTGCAGTACAATGTTAGAATGAGCTGCTAAGAGAATCATGAGTGTGCAGAACTGATAACTGTGAGTGAAATAGAACTACACCTAGACACAGATGGAACAAACAGTGCAATAAAGCTACATGTAAAGTACTCAGAACAAGAAATGAACCTGTTTTTCATCAATGCACATTCACATGTGTTAATTCTACATTCTGACTAGCCTGCTAAACTACAGGGTGCAAAAGTACTGTATTGTGTAACATTCTAAACACTTCAATGGTGAGCAAGGTGAAAGTGAAACTCAGCGAATACGGAAGATGCAGAGTGAAACGATGAACATCTTGTACTCTTTCTGAGTCACCTTTAGGAACAGCTGTGGTAAGTAAACTCTCATCTTTAGGCTGAAAAACACTTTATTCTTGCATGGTGTAGACTGGGAGATAAATCCTAACAACAACATCATTTATTTCCTTTGCTTTTGATCTAAATGTCTCAGTTTTTCTTGCTAAGTTAGCTTTATTTTCGTTGTTTGTTGTGTTTGTTTGCTTTTTAAGAGTCAGCTTATCCAACTTGAACAAAGACAAAGAGATGGTTGGGGAACACAGTTGAAGCCTAATTCACCAAATTTCTTTTGGCACTTAGGCGGTTTTAATGAAGATTCTACACAAAAGTGTGAACACTTCTGTGGTTTAAGAACACGTCATGAATCTGACATACACTTTTTCTCAGGACTTTTCTCAAGAACACATTTAAGAACTTAGGGAGGTATTGGTGAATGAGGCCCATTGTTTGCAAAATACAGCCAATCGGGCCAGATTCATAAAACTAATTTTCAGATTCAAAGTAATGAGAGCAAAATTTCTCAATCGTGAGGATGAACAAATTCTGCACATTCTTCTACTCTATTTATTAAAGTGTTGCAAAGACAAATTTTAACCTATTTTCACAGAACATCATTACAACGGCAGTAGTAAATGAAAATGAAGGTAACCTGTTTGAAAAGGATTTTAGATTCACAAACCTTTGCTGTATGAAATTCAAATGGGAGCACATTTTTAAAGCAGTAAATAAAGAGAAGCTGTGCATTACAGTAGTTTTTACAACAGTTAACTGGTACTGTTCCAATAAATACAATGAATTCAGTGAATTAATGTTATGTCGCTTGGGGACCATAGCCTCCTGGCAGACTTGGGAAATAAGGGAATATGTGAAATAGTGTAACGTCATCAACACAAAAACTGTATTTTGTTACAGTTACAGGAAAAAGACAGCAGTCAGATAACAAATGTTATATAAAAATTGGGTGGGTACAAGCAGAATTATATTAAAACAACTTCTACACAGCACTCCATGTAAATTGCTTGCATGTAATTATCTTCACAATCAAAAATTTTCACTTTATTTTTATGGTAATGCTAATTTTTATGATCTACTTTATGGTAACATCTACACTGTGAGAAAAAAAGGTAGTGTGAAGCTACGGTTTTTCATTCATCAGGATACAAACAATGTATATGTGCCTTCAAAGGGTACAACAATGGTTTTAAGGTCTAATTTTGTACCTTCGATAAGAGAAAAATACATATCTAATGTTTAAAACAGAACAAAATAAAAAGGATGGACATGAGACAGAGTGTGTGGTACAATTATGTTCCCTAGCTAAAGGTACTGTAGACTTTACCCTTGAGGGTACCACTCCAGTGACAAGAGCGGTACCACCCCAGTGACAGTTCAGTATCTTTTGTTCACAGTGTAACGGTGGGATACATTTACTTTCCTACACTGGGTTTGCATAAACTTATGGCAGCTGCCAAACATTTGAAGCTTGTAAAACACTCAGACAGCATGTTTTTTTACTCTGTGTGTTGCAGCTCTACAAAATGTTTACTGGCAAAACTTACACTATATTGCCTCCACAAAGCTCTGTTGTAGAGCCCTTATTTTTTCCCTTTTATTTACAGCCCCTAGGACACTTTATGTGTAAACACAATGTTGCACTTTCACTTTCCTTTACTTGCACAGTATTTATCTGGACTAGTAGTCCAGAGAATATTAGGATTGTGAGTTCAGTAGGTGTTTTAAGTGAAGATATTTGTTTTGGCAAGAACATGCCTACAGTAGGTGTGACTCATTATCTCCTATTCTTTGTTATTGTGTTTTTTATTTCATTTAAACCATAATATTTTATCTTTCTTTTTATATTATATATATTATAATATAGTATATATCTATTGTAAAGCTCTTTAAAATTTTCTACATAAAATAAAGTGCTTGGTGAAAAAGTTATTTATAATGAGTGTTAATAAAAATATAAAAAAAACTATTTAATCTTTAATAATGTGCTTCTTCATTTGCATTTCTTACGCCAAAAGTTTGTAGCAGTTTGTGGCAGTTTGTGGTAGGAACCTATCCTCCCCCTGGTTAACGCCAGATAGCAGAACAATGATGCAACAAAAGCAGTCTGAATACAGGATAAAGACAATAGTGAATAGTGAAGAAAGAAAAGAAATGAGCCTCTCATTGGACAGATGGCTACTTGTCAGAGCTGAGAACAAGAATTAAATCCATGATTGCCATGATATGTTAGTATGACTATGTAAAGAACTCAGTATAATGTAGGTGAACATCAGGCAGACCATTATTAATAGTATAACTCAACACTTCTCTCCATTGGATTTTGTTCTCATAGTGGTTTAAGATTCTTCATTAAGCTGCTCCGTTGAGGTTAATCAGTCTGTAGTGCCTGAAATTGGGGCTAAATTGAAAATCTCTACTTCTGCTCTAGATCCTAGCCCTATTTGTACCTGTATTATTAAAAGATCTTTAACAATAGGTGTGGTATCATTGCTTTTTTAAAATGGCTCTAGTGAAACCACTGCTGAAAAAACATGATCTTGACCCTCCGTTTTATCTAACTACAGGCCAATCTTCAACTTACCTTAAGTTTGGGAGAAGGTTGTTGACAGCTACTTCCAATCGTATTTGGAATCTAACATGCTGTATAAAGTTTTTCAGTCCTACGTTTCATAGTACCAAAACAGCACTAGTTCAGGTGGTTAATGATCTTTTAATTGGCAGCTGATTCTGGTTATCCAAGCCTGCTTATTTTACTGGTTTTGAGTGCAGCCTACGATTCTATTGACCATGCTATTCTTTTGTGGCAGGCCATAGGAACTTTAGGTATTGTTTCAAATGTTTTAATTCATATTTGACTGGGCATATAGAATCAATATAGAACCTTGAGTGGGCATTTCTCACCTTTTAAGGTTATTACTTCAGGTGTCCCCCACGGGTCAGTATTGGGTCCTGTCCTGTTCCTTATTTATATGCCTCCTCTGGGAAATATTTTTCATAAGCATAATATTTCTTTTCATTGCTTTGCTGATGGCACAGACATTTATTTTCAAACACAGCCAAACTCACATTTTGCCTTATTATTCATGGTTGAATGGCAAGAAACTTTCTGCAATTAAATAAAACTAAATGTGATAGGCAATTCCAGCCAGATTCGTAAGGATGGATTGACAACTTCACTGTAAAATCGTCATTTGTTAGCACTGCCATCATGTGTGAGGAAATCTCTTGTAGAGTATTGCGAGACTCAGCACCTCTCTGACCCGTTGTGATGCTGAGAAGCTAATTCATGCATTTGTGATGTCATGGTTAGATTACTGTAATGCCCTCCTGGCTGGACTTCCAAATAAGAGTATACAGAGATTGTAGTATGTTCAGAATTGTATATATTTTAACCAAAACTAGAAAATTTTCTCACATCACTCCAGTTTTAGAACCTTTGCACTGGTTAACCATTTGAGACAGAATTCTATTTTGGGTTTATAAATGTTTACATGCCCAAACTTCAGTAAATGTGCAGGATCTTTTACTTCCTCAGACTCATGCTACAGTTTTCTTAGGTCTGAATCCTCAAATCTGCTTGTAGTTCCACGTTAAAAGTTATGCTCCATGGGTGACTGTGCTTTTAGTGTATTGGGTCTGTGATTATGGAATGAGCTTCCTGAGTCTCTAAGAAATTCTGGATCTTTATCTCAATTTAAAAAAGAATCTCAAGGCTTTGTTTAATACATATTTTTATATTTTAAAAAGAGTCTTAAACTTAATTTTGTTTTGTTTTAGAAACTTTGGACATGGAAGTCGCTGGGCATCAGAATGCACAAAAAGATGATTCATATGAAGATCAACCAGAGATACAACCTCAGCCCATCACTCAGACAAGACTTCACTCTGGTAAGATGCTAACGAGATAATGTTACGTGTGTGTGTGTGTGTGTGTGTGTGTGTGTGTGTGTGTGTTTAAGTGTAATAACTTTCTATGAGAAAGCTTTTAAAGACATTAAATACCTTAGATATCTAGATAATATTTAAATAAACTTCACTAAATAACTTTACTTACCTCTTAATCATTTAGTTATGCACCTGTGAAATTCTCTTTTAAAAATGATAAAGCACCAGGAAGTGTGTATCATTTTAAAAAGGTAAAACGTTCTTGCTTTTGTTGTTGTTAGGGGGCGTATTACACACAATCTCTTTTGCAAGTTCAGAATAGGACCTTTTATTTTGTCATTTAATGACCATCTAAAACTTGTGACTAACATTATTTTGCTTATTTCATTTATATTTATCAGGACACAAACCACTGAAATATTTCACTTTTTTGTCTGGACAAACCCTGAATTCTCATGAAGACTTCAAAAGACGTCTTCAAGACAAAGTATCAGGTTTGCGGGAGGTGTTAAGAAAGGAGGAGTGTGATATGATTCTTCTCTTCTGTCCTGTTGTTTCACGTGCTGGAACTGACATTGGAGCAGCCCTGCAAGAATTTCAGATTATTTCAGGTATTCCAAAATCTTTTCAACACAATTTATCAGTAAAGATGAGAAAAACTCTTTGTTTTTGTCAGCTTTATCTTGAAAAATAAAACCTTTCCATATGAAATGGCGAATGGCTCCTTGTGCTATATGCTATTCCTAATGCTATGCTATATATAAGGGTTTAAATAACAATACGTGTAAGCATCATCTGAATGAGTAAAAGGTATAAACATTTCTTAGACACTGACCAAAGAATCAAGGTTGTGCATGAAAACGTGGGCTGAATTGAAGAAGTGATTCAACAGGCAAAGACCATGACCATCCACCTCATCCAGCAATATAATCCTGCTGTTGTTAAAAAGCATTATGCATAGAGTGCTCTTCTAGGAGGCACAGTAGGAGTAAATTCCTCTTGTCCTTTTCCTACAGATTCCAAGCCTGCTGTTGTAGTGGTGCTTCATCACACATTTGACCCAAACTTCACTGTACCAGACAGCAGTGAATGTGTCACCAGAGAGAACACACTCACTGTGGACTGCCTGTTCTATGAGGACATAGGATTACTGCACTGCCCGAAGAATCATAATGCAATAGAATGTATTATAAAGTGGATGAAAGCTGAGGTATTTATATATGTATTTATTAAAGTTCTATTTTTTATTATCCTTCTATCTGGGTACAGCGCAGTGATCCATATATTAACTAAGGAATGGTTACATAAATACAAAAAGCCTTGTAAATGGATACCAATAGCAGTCTCAGTTCAATCGTTTCTTTTTACTTAAACAGTCAACAAAATACATAATGCATAAAACTGTATATTTATATACTATATCAAATCTCATTATACAGTCTCCTCTAAAAGTATTGAAACATCAAGGCCAATTCTTTTATTTTTGCTATATACTGAGGACATTGAGGTCATTTGAGTTCGAAGACGAATATGAGATGGTAGATCAGAATTTTAGCTTTTCTTTCCTGATATTTACATATATATTTATATTTAGAATATGGCATCTTTGGTGGCAGACCACCCAATTTGTAGGTCAGCAAAAGTATAGGAACAGATAAACATAAATATTTGGTTACATATCATGTCAAGCCGGTGATCCACTGACATCACTGAACTGTTGCATTCTTCTTTTGTGAAGCTTTTCCAAGCTTTTATCGCATCATCTTTCGGTTCTGTCGTTTGTTTTGGGGGTTTCTCCTTCAGTGTCCTCTTCAGGAGGTGATATGCATTCTCATTTGGGTTTGGTGTGGTGATTGACTTGGGCAGCCTAAAACCTTCCATTTGTTCCCCCTGATGATGTCGTTTGTTGTGTTGGTGGAGTGGTTTGGGTCTTGCTACATAATTAGATTGGATGCACTTCTCTGTAAATTGGCAGAGAGAATGTTTCTGTAGACTTATGAATACATTCTGCTGCTACCATCAATAAAGATTAGTGAGCGCATTGTAGAAGCAGAAATTCAATCCCAAGCCATGACGCTACCTCCACCATGCTTTACTAATGAGTTTGTATGTTTTTGATTATGAACAGATCTTTTCTTTCTGCACACTTCTGCCTTTCCATTACTTTAGTAGATGTTAATCTTTGTCTCTTCACTTGATAAAACTCTGTTCCAGAACTTTATTGGCTCATCTTTATATTTTTTGCAAATACCAATCTGGTCTTCCGATTTTTACTTCTGATGAGTTGTTTGCATCTTGTAATGTGGCTTATTTCTGCTCTCATCTTCTTCCAACAGTGAATTGTGATACCTTCACCGCTGCCCTATAGAGATCGTTGGTGATGTCATTCACTGTTTTTTTGGGGGGTTTCTTTACAGCTTTCAGTGTTTCTGCCATCAACTGCTGTTGTTTTCTTGGCCAACTGGTTCACTGTCATATTGTTAGTACACAAGTTATTGTAGTGTTCATGCAGCTTTATCCTTTTTAGCAAAAAATACAGACATCATAGGCAAAACCCAGGGCTCAAACCAAGAGTGGGCATTCAGAGCTATTAACTGTTTAAACAATCATTCTAACAGGGTAAACCTGGTCAACAAGAACCACTTGTCAATCACATTTTCCAATACTTTTGCTCACTTGAAAAATGGTGGGTTCAAACAAAAAGGGCCAGGTTATAAATTTAATACATCTAGATGTACATATCAGGAAATGAAAGCTGAAATTCTGATCTATTGTCTCAGATTCATCACATTGTTTTCAACCAACAAGTTTTCAGTATCTGAATTGGTTTGGTTGTCCTGAAGCATTCAGGGGAGACTGTATCAATTCTTATAAAGCTTGGCTTTTATCAAGAAACAGTAATTAAAGCCAATTTTAATCCAATATGTCAACAGCCAGGAGCAGTATCAGGAACCCAGATGAGACCTAAAAATAAAAGGACCCAACAAATGGATGGTAAGAAAGGTGAAGTATAGCAACTGTAATGATAAAACTGACCAGAAATATATGTTTATGTTTTAAATACTGTTACATTACATCACATTACAGCCAGAACATTGGTTGCCATGTTGCAACACAAGCTTACTGCTGCAACTAAATGTTAGGAAAGCTGGCATTTCCTGTGCTGATGCAGGCGTGTATAATCATAATGTATACAATTGCACACCTCCTACAGTCAGAAAAGACTTGTTGGAAAACACAGCAGTTCACACTATTACACATGTAACTTCACAAGTGAAATTGTTACAACTATTAAGAAACATATGTGTAATTGAGCAGTTTGTTCGCAGACTGCATAGTCAGACTTACTTGTGCAGTGGTGCATATACACAGGTATAAATGTATACTCATCCAAGACAGCAAAGGAAACATCTATACCTGTTTTGCACTTGATTTTGATTCGATTGCAGAGAGATACAGCATCACACTCAAGTCATGTATACTGCCGCTTATCCTACTGTATGGTAGCAGTGTAAGCTTTACTCCAACAGATTCGTTCTGAGGTCTTTTATGTGATTATATTCTCTAATCTCTTCGGTCTTTAGATTAGTTTTTAGCCCAGATCAAGAGAAGACAAGGCAAGGCAAATTTATTTATGTAGCACTTTCCATACACTGCTGTCATTCAAATACAAAAGAAATCCAAAGATAAATCAAATGATCATTTAAAAAGGAACGTAACGTAATATATTTGAGCTGAAAGCTAAACGCTGCTTCTCTATGTCTAGTCTTTACCCTTGGCAGAACTAACTGACTAGTTCCTAATGATCTCTGACTTCTGCTTGGTTCATATTGCTGCAGCATATCAGATAAACACACATCTCCTACACTATTTAGCCATTTATTGACCAGTAATAGTACTTTGAACACTATTTTGTAACAGACTGGTAGCCAGTGTAAGGATTTAAGAATGGGGGTGATGTGTTCCCTTCTTTTACTCATATTGAGAACTCTGGTAGCTGCATTTTGAATCAGCTGAAGCTGTTTGACTGTCTTTTTTTGGGAGTCCAGTCAGGATACCATTACAGTGATCAATCCTGCTAGAAATAAAGGCATGGCTGAGTTTCTCCAGGTCTGCTTTAGCCAGAAAATCTCCAATCTTGTTGATGTTCTTAAGGTGATAAAATGCTGATTAGCTAACTGCTTTGACATAAAGATCCTTTATTTATGCTTTTCTTAGTCTGGAAATTTTGCAAAGATCTGGCAACCCTTGTGAAGAGGCGAACACTCACCATGAAAATCTCCAGCATAAGTTGTGAGAATATTTTAAGAACTGGATGTGAAATGTATACTATTAAAAACAGGAGACAAACTATGAAGTGGACTCAACACCCCAAAATGTGTTATGACAACAACTAACGTCAACAAAAACTTGTCATTTGACATTGGCATTATGCCAACTTGATATTAAGGTTGATGAAAGCAGCTTGTTAGTAAGTCTTTATAAATGTTTATATATGTCACTTGTCATGAAAGACTTATGCAGGCATCATGTAGCCTTATGAAAACAGCCTTACTGTAAAATGTTATTGGTTTATATATTATGTATTGTGCTTCATGTTTTAAAACCAATAAATACAAGTCTGTCTTGTTGTACCAGATGCAGAAATTAAGGGTAATGATTTCAAAGAAGAAGGGAAACACCTGAAGGAACTGGAAAAAAAAGTTGAAGGAAAAGAGGAAGAACTTCTTAAGAATGGTAAATATGTGGCTTAAACAGTAATGTTGTTGTTTTGTCATTGAAATGATCATATTAGGCACAGAATCTCCCATTTTTACTGCATTTATTTAAAATCTCAATGCATCCATTGCTTGCCAATGACACTTTAAATAAAAATGGCAAGAAGCAACTACTGAGGTCTAGTTTCACAAGAAGCCCCTCTGTATGTTACTGTCCCAATACCTCCAACTGACCATTTACATTTGTTTCTGGTTAGACTAAACATTACTTTACAACAAACAGTTCATTCTATTGTGGTTAACATAGCCATGAATCTAAAGACCCAACTGTAGAAGCTAGAAAAGTAAAAAAAAATTACAGATACTTACAGTATTATTTATGATTGATATATATATATATATATATATTATATATATATATATATATATATATATATATATTCATATTTAAAATAAGTAAACCTACACATCTCTGCTCTAAATCAAAATGTGAACTTTGAGTCCAGCTCCTACCATTTATAAACAGTTAAGCTAAGAGTGGCATCACTGCAAATGTTGCAACTTACACCATTACTACATACTTACATTACATTACATTACATTACACCACTCTATTTTGAACAGACACTTCAGCAGGCAGCAAGACATGCCCAGTGCAGCACTAAACCCAAAATGAAACACAGGCAGGGCAACGCAGGATGACGCAACATATGAGGAGGGTGGACACTTCCAATGACTTATTACACTACAAAGCCCACCTCTTCAGACACAGTTTACTCCACGCAGCACATATGTGCTTATAACAGCAACAACATCCACGACAACAGACAATAACTGTACTTTTCTTACTGGGAGCAAGAGCCACTTTACCTGGCAACACCCCATAAGTTCCTCATGGCAGTGTGGCCCGTGGCGGATGCAATATTTTATTTACATGGCACCTCTAGCACTGTGCGCTTAAAAAGTTTGCAGAAGAAGAAAATTACATTAGTTGGCATTTTCAAATAAAATTTTGATGTGAAATTTGTCATTTTTGTTTCAGGTTTTCCAGAATTTGTTCTTGCTTCAGAGCTCAGGCTGGTGCTGCTGGGGAGGACTGGATGTGGGAAGAGAGCGGCAGGAAACACCATCCTGGGCAGAGAGGAGAGGAGCCAGGCTGGAGTGTCTACAGTGATGCAGCAGAGTGAGAGCAGACAGGGGGAGGTGGCTGGGAGGCAGGTGACTGTGGTGGACACTCCTGACTGGTTCTGTCCTGGATTCTGTGTTGACAAGGTGAGACAGGACGTTATGCTTCTAGCCAGTCTGTGCACACCAGGGCCTCGTGCCTTCCTCCTAGTCATACCAGTGAAGCAGTCTACAGGAGAGGAGAGAGACATGCTGGAGAAAATGGAGGAGATCTTTGGAGAGAGATGTTGGAGGAACACCATGATCCTTTTCACTGTTACTGATGAAGTCCAACAGAAGAACATTGGAGAGTTTATCCAGTCAGGAAACCAGGAGGTCCAGAGACTTGTAGAGAAATGTGGGAACAGGTTTCACTGTCTCAGCATTAAGGAGAGTGGAGATGGTTCTCAAACCTCAGAGCTGCTGGAGAAGATAGAGAAGATGGTGGAAGGAAACAGAAATAGAGATGGGATTCATCAGATGATTAGAGATATGGAGAGAAAGAGGGAAGAAAGAAGAAGAAAAATGTTTCAGGAAATGCAGAAAATCCTGAAAAAGAATGAAGAATACAGGCAAGGCTATGAGAGTGATATGACAGCATTAGAAAAAGCTGAAGAAAAATCTCAGCAGGAGCAACAGGTTACCTTTCTACAAAAAAAATGTGTGACTGAAAAAAAAGTTGTAGAAACAACGAGAAAAATGTATGAAAGACTGGCTGAAATGGAATCAGATAAAGAGTTCATTAAGGTCATGTTACCAAACTATCCACATGCTATTTGGCTTTCAATGCCAAATGAACAGGATGTACAGCAAAATGAAGATTTAGAAATTGAACAAATAGTACAGAATTTATCAAAGGAATACAGGCTGAATGATAACCAATAAAACTCATCAGTGACATTAAAATGTTTTTATCTAGTCACATTGTGATATTGATATTTCTTTTGCCATTTTTTCCTCTTAACAGTTAATATTGCTTTGTTTGAATTAAAGTTATTCAGGTTCAGAATATTCAGAAGAAAATATTCTATTTAAAATTGTTTTGGGGCAGTGAAAGCAAGTTTCAAGTAAAATGTATGGAAGCTGCATTAAAGGCAAAGTAGGGAGCCCTGCTGGTGACATCCCATATTAATAAAAATGCATGGCCACACCGTATTAAGGCAGGAGAACGAGATCCTAACGTGTGGCCATGACTTGGTAAGGTGTGGGAATGAGATAATTAAGTCATGGCAACAACTTACTAAGGTGTGAGAACGAGCTCATGCCTTATTAAGCTGTAGTCAAGGCTTAATTATTTCATTCCCACGCCTTACTTAGTCGTGGCCATGCATTTGGATGTCTTTCCCATGCTTTAGTAAGTTGCAGCCACAACTTCATTATCTCATTCCCACGCCTTACTTAGTCATGGCCATGAATTTGGATGTTTTTCCCATGCCTTAGTAAGTTGTGACTACGAATTCATTATCTCCTTCCCACGCCTTATTAACATTTGGATATCGTTCCTACGCCTTAGTAAGTCGTGGCCACAACTTCATTATCTGGTTCCCATGCCTTACAAAGTCGTGGCCATTATTTTTATGTATACGGAATGTCACCACTCTAAAGTTATCATGTTGGAGAAATTAGGTTTTGTTTTGACAACAATGATCAATGAGCCAAAATATTATGACCACCTGCTTAATGCTGTTGGTTCCCCATGTGCCGCCAAAACAGCTCCGACACAATGAGGCATGGACTTTACAAGACCTGTTGTAAACCAGTGGCTACTTTAACCTAGGAATGAAAATAGGTTAATGTTCCTTTAAGAGTACCGTGCAAATGTGTGAGGCTATGAGCCACTTACTGCATTACCATAGCCCCCCCTTTCATCACACTACAGAGTGAAGACAGTGGAGCGAAACTGCTGAGAGAAAATATATTTTATTAGCGAATAGCGAATCAGTCTCCAATCTGGACATCAGAGCGTGCTGTAAAATTGATAAAAGAGGATTTGGTGAGTTAAAAAAGTTTCTAATGTTAAAAATCTATAGAGTATAGAGGAAGAATCTAGAAGCTAAAAGCTTAAACTCTGTGTGTTAAGTTTATGTTTCCTTGTTTTAAAGATCTTGTTTGTTGTGTCAAATTCTTTGTGATTTTGCTTGTGTTGAGTAAACTAGCTGAAACTGCAGATGCTTTTGTGTAATGATCCAGCCAATTGAATGTGTATAAAATCTATGCAGAGTTATTTTATATAACAGAAGGAGGACTGTTATGAAGTATGTAAATGTAAATTGGGAGTGAAGTAAGATATACTTACTTACCAAGAAAGTTAGTTTAGCTTAATATTAGAGGGTTAAAGACAAAGTAAACTAATTTAATACCTTGAATAAAAAATGGATTTGTCTTACTTGGTCTTAGTCACTGTTGTGGGAGAAGACACTTTGATTATCTTGTTTTCATTTGTTTTCTGCAAAGTGCAAATTGTAATAGTCATATTGGGGTTTACAGTCTCCTCATTTGTACTAGTTAAGCAGTTACTACTCTTAGAACCTGGAACACTGGTCCATACACCCACCTTATCATTACACCCGTTCATTGGTCAAGCCTGGAAGGAGGGTTACACTGTGTAGATGCCCTGTGGTATCTGGCACCAAGCCATTAGCAGCAAGTCCTGTAGGTTGCGAGGTGGGGCCGCCGTGGATCAGACTTGCTGTTCTAGCACATCCCTCAGATGCTCGACTGGATTGAGATCTGGGGAATTTGGAGGGCTGGACAACACTTTGAACTCTTCATCATGTCCCTCAGACAATTTCTGAACAATGTGTGCAGTGTGGCAGGATGCATCATTCTGCTGAGAGTGGGGGAATACCATTACTATGAAGGGGTGTCTTAAAGGCACAGTAACCAAAACAGCTGGTTTAATTCTAAAGAATATAGATGAAAATATGGTCATACAAAAACAAGTGTATGACTGTTTCTGACCATTAACCTCACAGAAATATTAGAGCTCAGGGGAAAAGTACAGCACATGAAACATGTAGGATATGGGCCTGATAATGTTAAGTCACTAACCAATAAGTCCTTTATAACTGTAAAGTCCTTTATAATCTAATGTATGAATTAGATTTTATCTCTTTCATTCAAATCTGGCTCGGTAGTCATTTTAATGAAGCTGCTGCTGCCTGTACTGCTTGCCCGTATGACAGAACAAATCTTGTGGGGGAATTCTCTGCATTAGAATATCTTTCAAAATGTCAATCATCCCCCCAGACAACAACCTGGTGATCTTGAAGAATTTGGAGAGCTATTATCTACAATTTTAACTGATTTTGATTATGTATTGCTGACTGGTGATGTTATTACCCAGTTTGATCACCTTTTAGTTCCTGTAACTAATGTTATTTTTTTTTTTAAAGTCACTGGATTCCCTTGATCTTACACAGCTTGTAATAGTCTCTATACACAAACAAGGCCTTACCATAGATCTAGTAACATCACATGGTTCAGATATCAAGGTGTTGAACATCTGTGAAGTTGGAATTTCTGATCACATCCTTCTCTCGCATGGCTGTTTACACACTGATAATCAGACTGATAAGACAGTCAAAGTTACCTAATAGAACTCAACCATCATTTTAAAACTGAAAGTAGACTGAAATAAAAACAGAATGGAAATGGAGGTATATACTTACTGTCCGCTATGACATCTGTTAAAAAAAAAAAAATGAAACTCTTTACTAATCAAATTGAGCTTCCTAAGAAAGCCGATATCAATCAGTGGTGGTGAAGATGAAGGGGTGCCACCCCAACACTTCCTGTTGATGTAACTGGTTGATTAGCATGCTTTTACCCACTCAACAAGAAAGCTCATGATCACCAGCAGAGTGACTCAAAAGTAAGTTTTGCAAAATTGTAACTGATCAATTTCCCAGTCATGCATGGAGGGTAGATAAATTGAGGAGGCACTACTTAGTATAACTGTTATCACGTGACTGTGATGTCCAAAACTTCAAAAACATCACCAAAACACTGTATAAGAGAGGGACTGTTCTGCAAGGGTTAGCACTATCTCATATCTCATAAGCTATAAGAGGCATAAAACCACCAGTCATGTACACGATTGATCACTTTACTGAGCCACATTCTCACCCATCTAGTGAGTAAATAATTACGTAATTAGATTAATGGTGAGAAATCATATACATTATTTCATATACATAATAGCATGCACTGTATAAGCAGTTGCAAACCATCAGGGCTAGGCCTTCAATTAGAGACAGTGTCAAAACTTGGTCAAAAAAAAAGAAAAACATTATAGGATAAATACAGGTTATAGGATTCTAATAGTTTGTTGTTGTTGCTTATCTATATCTTCCTACAACCCCATTTCCAAAAGAGTAGGGACGCTGTGCAGAATGTAAATAAAAATAGGATGCAATGATATGCAAATCACGTTAACCATATTTTTAAAGGTAGTACAAATAGTACAAAGACAACATATCAAATGTTGAAACTGAGATATTGTATTGTTTTTTAACAAATATATGCCCATTTTGAATTTGATGCCAACAACACGTTCCAAAATGTTTACCACTGTGTTTCATCACCTCTTCTTTTAACAACACTCTGTTAGTGTTTGGGATCTGAGGGGACCTGTTGCTGTAGTTTTGAAAGTGAAATGTTTTCCCATTCTTGTTTGATATAGGATTTCAGCTGCTCATCAGTTCAGGGGCTCATTTGTTGTATTTTTCATTTCATAACCCTCTAAATGTTTTCAGTGGGTGACAGACTGCAGGCAGGCCAGTTTAGGACCTGGACTCTTCTAATACAGAGCCATGCTGTTGTAATACATGCAGAATGTGGTTTGAAACTGTCTTGCTGAAATAATCAAGGCCTTCACTGAAAAAGACGTCATCTGGATGGCAGTATATGTTGCCAAAACATGTCGTTCAGTATTAATGGTACCTTCACAGATGTGCATGTCACCCATGCCATGCGCACTAAGGCACCCCTATACCATCGTGAATACTGGCTTTTGAACTGTGCACTGATAACAAGATGGTCTTTAGCCCGGAGGACACAGCGTCCATGATTTCCAAAAAGAATTTCAAATTTTGATTAGTAGGATCACAGGATGCTTTTCCACTTCACCTCAGTCCATTTTAATTGAGCTCAGGCCCAGAGAAGATGGCGGCATTTCTGTTTCTTGTTTATATGTGGTTTCTTCTTTGCATTTTAGAGTTTTAACTTGCATTTGTGGATGCAATGATGAACTGTGTCTACAGACAGTGGTTTTCAGAAGTGTTCCTGAGTCCATGCAGTGATTGCCACTACAGAATCAGGTCTGTTTTTAATGCAGTGACACCTAAAGGCCCAAAGATCACGGTCAGCAAATACTGTTTTTTGGCCTTGTCCCTTACAAACAGAGATTTCTCCAGATTCTCTGAATCTTTTAATGATGTTATGTACCGTAGATGATGAAAAGGAAAAGTTATTTGCTATTTTATGTTGAGAAACATTATTCCTGAATTGTTGCACTATTTGCCCACACAGTCTCTCACAGAGTGGTGAACCCCTCCCCATCTTTACTTCTGAAAGACTCAGCCTCTCTGGGATGCTCTTTTTATACCCAATCATGTTACTGACATGTTGCCAATCAACCACCAGGTGTTTTTTAGCATTACACAACTTTACCTTTTGTTGCCCCTGTCCCAACGTTTTTGGAAAATGTTGTTGCCATCAAATTCAAAATGGGCAAATATTTTCAACAAACAATAAAATTTCTCAGTTTCAACAATTGATATGTTGTCTTTGTACTATTTTCAGTTAAATATAGGGTTTAAATGATCTCCACATTATTGCATTTTGTTTTTATTTACATTTTACACAGTGTCCCAACTTTTTTGGAAATGGGGTTGTAGATACGTATGAGAAAAACAATTTCTTAATTTTCTACTAGGCCTTTCAAAAA